CTGAAGGAAGGGAGGGGGGAAGGAAGGAAGGAAAGAGAGAGAGAGAGAAGGAAGGAGGGAAGGTAGGAAGGAAGGGAGGGAGGGAGGAAGGAAGGAAGGAGTAATGGGAGGGAGGGAGGAAGGAAGGAAGGAAAGAGAAGGAAGGAAGGAGGGAGGGAGGGAGGGAGGAAGAAGCCATCAAGGAGAGGATTTGGACCATAGATCATGTAGTCAGAGCTTGAAGGAAGTGTGAGAAAGGAACTCAAAATAAACCCTCCTTGATTTTGTTTCGTATAAGATGGGGCAGAAAGAAACTTGGGCCAGCTTTCCAGATTCTGCTATTCTACCCTACACCAATAAAGTTGCATTTCTGGAGTCCCTGCAGTGTCTGCTTCTTGACCTGGCCTACCTCAAAGGGCTGACAGGTCATCCCTTTCCCCACATTCTCTGTGAAACTCAGAAAGAAATCTTTAAGTTTCAATTTGAACACGGCCTCGGGTTCAACTTAACGTCTCCGTACATTGCACGGCCTTTTAGGCAAGTTGTGTTTCTTTTGATTATTCTTTTTCTTTTTGTGTTGTGCTGTGTTATTATGGCCTGCCGTCCTAACCCTCACCTTATTACAATCAAATAATCATCATAATAAGTGCATCCTGGAAAGAAATGGCAAACCTATTCCATATTTCTGCCAAGAGAACCACCCAGATGCTTCTGTGGGGTTCCCAAAAATCGAGCCCAACTTGAAGGAGACTTTGTCATTTGCAGAGGATGTGTTTTGTTGGCAAATTGCAAGGAATCCAAGGGATAGAAGAGCCAAAAGCGCCCCCCCCCATGAAAATACCCCTGAACTGGAGACCAACCACCTTCTCTATTTTAAGCAGCCGAGTGAAGCCTCCTTGTTTTTGCAAAAGCCATTTATTCTAGAATCAGCATTCTTGGCTCAGGCTGGGTGGGTTTGCAGAGCAGAGGGTGTGAATCACACGCCAGAATGTTCCTCGCCAGGAAAGGAACCTCATTCACACTCCAGCATGAAGAAAGATAGCTTGTAAGAGAAAGTTGGGCTAGCGCCTAATTCTGTGGGTGATTGCAAGCAATTCACACTTGCAGTCTTGAAATGGGTGCAGCAAATCCTCTCTTCCTGGTTCCCGACCTCTGCAGATGGATTGTCCATCTGTTGTGCCTCTGATAAGGGCAGAGGTAACCGGATTGGTGGTATCTGGGGTGGGGGTGGGGGGCTGCTGGAGTAAAGACCAAGAGAACAGCTCTATGGTAGAGTCCCCGCGATGCATAATTACCTTCAATTCATGTCTGCTCATGAAACACCAAGATGGTGCATGTGTGTTTTGACGGTGCTAAGTAGCTGTGGCTTTCACACCCCAGCAGGTGCTAAAACAAATATAATTTCTGGTGACGGTACACGAAGATGATAGAGAATGTCAGGCGAAGGGGAGGGGGCACCCTGGGGAGGGAGGGAGAACAGATTCGCCATTATTCATTGTGGCAGGCAAGACGCTGCTCTCTGCACTCAGCTTCGCTGTCAGCACGAATTTAAACATCTCAGCCGGCGATGCTCCTAGTCAGGCTGACGGACTCTCTCAAAGTCACTTTCTATTCTCCAAAAATGACATGTCTATCTCTCCGCCACTTCTAAGGCAAAAGGAGATGCCCTTTTGGGATGGACGGCCCGTTTGGAACTGGCTGGAATCAGTGTGGTCCTATTCCAAGCGAGCTTCTTTGGCTGGGGCAAGAGGACATCATGTCTTTTCAGCCACCAAGAGCTGGGGGGACCATGGCAGTGATGGGCTGATGTCCCAAGGATTTTTTTCCTTTTTTTTTTGAGATGAAGGGCATTTTGCAAAATAGGGATGCTCCATTGAAATGAGCAAGCTGAAAGCAAGCTAACAAGGGTCTTCCTCAGATGATCAAGATGCTTTTCTGAGACTGTATGCAGAGCTTCTGTTGGCTTCTTCCAACCTTCTTCCAGTTTGGCTCCCGATCCCTGGGCTGGGACTGTGATTCGCAGCTGTCCAGGCTCCAGCAGATCTGGATCTTGGGAAGAGCTGGGTTTGTTCCAGGGGTGTCTGCAAGGTATGGTCAAAAAATCAAGATGTCAGCCATGGTGGTGCAATTGAAGCTCCACCCATTTTTTTTTTTTAATGTGTGATGCCTCATCATGGTTACCATCTTGACTTTTTTTGGCCATATCCTGCAGACACCCCTGGTTGTTGCTGTTGTTTCTTCCAACTCTTTGGGACCGGTGACCATCATTTCGTCAGGATTGTCTATCAGTAGCTGCTGCTTTATATCCTTGTAAGCTCCTGCTTGGGTCGCTCATGGTAGCATCTGCCCAATGTCTCCTGCCAGTCTCTGTTTTTGCTGCTTTCAATTTTTCTAAGCATCAGCGTCTTCTCCAAAGACTCCTATTTTGGCAGGATGAGTCCAAAATATTGAAGCTTGTCATCTGTCCTTTCAGCAGTCTATTCTTACTTCAACTTGTTCTGAATGTGCTGTTCTTCTGGCAGTCCGAGGTCCCATCAGCCATTTTCTCCAATACTGTGATCCAGCAGCATCCACTGTAATTTATTCAGCCTTTCAGATGATCCAAACTTTGTAGCCATTTCTTAAAACTGGGGAAACCCATAGTCTTTGTGGTCAGTGGGATGTCTCTGCATTTTCATTATTTTATCCAATTACTCTTCTTCCCAACTAACCAATGTCTGTCTGTTCCATGGCTACAATCGCCTCCTTGTGGCTTTTTGAACCTAGGAAAATCAAGTCTGATGCTTCTTCAATGCCTTCTCTGCTAGCTGGTGTTGGGGTGGCCTCCTGAAACTTAATTTGTGCCTTCTCATTGCGAAGAAGGCCAAGGAGTTACACAGCACGCTTCATCCCCCTTGCCTGCCAACACCTCCCCATTTCTGATTGGTCCTGATTCTTTCAACGCATCTTTGTGTTCCTAAAGACTAGAAATTTGGTCCTTTTTAAGAATGGAAACTGAGATTCCCAGGATGCCAAATTCTGTTATTAGGACTACCTCTGTGACCCTGGCAGAAACAGTTCCTCCCTTCTTTCATTTTGGGGAGCAAGGACATTTTAGAAGAGGGTCCCTTTTCAGAGGTGGCTTTCAAGTCAGAAAAATTGCCCCTTGGTTTCCATTTCCACAACACCTTCTTTTTGTCCACCCAGAAAGAAAACAAAGTTTTCAGAACCGTCTCCACTTTCCAGCTTGCAGCAATTTAACTTGCCCTGAGTTCCCTCACACCGAGAGGGAGCCTCCTGCACATGTTTTCCAAAATTAGATAATGGGGAACGACTGGGGAATGATGTGAGAAGGGGAAAAAAAATCTACAACAAAAACCCAGCATGATTAAATGTCTCTAGGGCCAGCAGGAATCCCCCCGAGGTGCTTTTTGCTCCAATAACCACACCTTTGAAATTGCTTTATTGCTTTAATAATGTGGTGGCGAAAAGCAAAGGGGTGGAGACCTGACACATTTATTATTTATGCCTGCAAAAGATGAAAGTGGGCAATTACAGCCTTTTAGAAGGAATGGGTTCGGGAGAATTGCCTGCCCTGTGTTTGCGCTGTCTTTTTTAATGGCCTCCATCATTAGCTTTGAACAGGCCCATCCCTGTAGCTCTAAGAATGGGTTGGCTTGGGCCCGGCATCTGTCCAAAAGGCAGGCTGACTTTGTTGATCTCCTGAATCTCCTGTGGTGGAGATGGTTGGTTTCCTGAATCTCCTGTTGTGGAGGGGTGGTTGGTCTCCTGAATCACCTGTGGTGGAGAGGGTTGGTCTCCTGAATCTCCTGTGGTAGAGGGGTGGTTGGTCTCCTGAATCTCCTATGGTGGAGAGAGGGTGGCCTATGGTGGACCTCCTCTTTATAGCCCTTACCATCTTCAGCTGCAAGAACCCCGTGGCAGCTAAGGGGAAAGGGCTTCATCCCAAGTCATCATGTTATTTGCCTGTTTTAGGCTTCACATGTTGGATAACTCAACTAATTTGGCTTAGCAAAGCCTGCTTAAAAATAAAACAGCAGCTTAGTGCGCTGTGTGAACCCAGCCACTCATGGCATCAGCGCCAACAAGACTTGACATCCCACTTGGGACTAAATGGAAACATCACCTGAACTTGGTGGTTTCTTCAGTGTCCTTCAAATAACCTGGCCCCAGAAGCATACCGTCAACCAATGCAGCTCAGGGAGCAGAGGTGTAATATGTGCTGTTCTGCTGCTGCATTTTGAACCAGCTGGGTTCCCCCCCTCAATTTTCCACCTTTGGTTTAGCAAAGCTGTGAAAAGAGCAGGCATGGAAGGTGAACATAAAGCATTCATCTCCTCTGTACTGGGAGCTGGTTTTGTGAACAAAGAATTACAACACTCTAGCAAAATTTCTCTCTGCTATATTTCCATTCAGTGCTAGACAGCAAAGTAGAAAGCATGTGTTGACTGGGTATCGTCAAGAGCCTCACTTGACCCAAGACTGTAAGAGTCTGGGCTGAATTTCCCACTCGAGGTTTTGCTTGAATGAGCAAAACAAACACACCATTGTTTCCAGTCATTCAATGTTACAAAGAGAAGGGTGAAAATGTTTCAGCAGCACCTGGTGAATTATGGATGAGTGTCTCAGTTCCTACATAATGTTAGGAACAAGAGTGTGGAGTGTTTGGGTTAGGTGTAGCTTAATGTGGCTGGTAAGTCATGGACTATGGCTTGGTGTAATGTGGGAATGCTCTGTGTAATGCCTTTTCTGCAAACGCCCCTACCTGCTACCAGGTAGAAAAAGAGGCAGGCAGGAAGGTATGTCATCTTCTTCTAGATAGTGCTGATATGGAGGGTGGTTGGTTTTTCTCTCTTTCAGTGGGGAACAATTCATGTGAACCTGGGGGCAATATATCCAGCTGTGCTAAGGTTGCGGTCTTGTTACCCTTTAATCGTGCTCTATATCACGCTCCCATTTAAGGAAGCCTTCAAGCAGAATGCCGAGATTAATTTGACTCTGCTTTATTTCATGCGGTGAAGAAGCAGACGTACGGGCTGGAACAAACATGAAAGGAGTTCTGCAGCAGCACTTGGGTGACTTTGTGAGATCTCGGAAAACATCCGCCAGGTCAGACCCGGTTAGTCCTTGCAAAAAGATTCTGGAGGAAAGCAAAATGTCATGGATGGGGCTATGTTGTTCTTAGGAATCAAACTCAACTGGAGGGCGTTTGCTCACACGTTTTGTGCCAAGAGAGCAAGGCCAGTTTGTGGATTGTTCCCTGCCTCACTTGTTTGGAAGGTCAACCATCAAACAACCAGTTTGCTTCACTGATGCGGGTAGCAGCCAGGATGTACAATTGTGTATCCAGGCTCTCAAAATGGAGCTTTTTGTGATTTAGTCACTGAGAAGGGTTTTAACATCCCTTTGCCTGCAGACCATGTCCTCTGCGTATCTTGAAGGGAGGTTTTGTAAGCTCCTTGTCGAACAACGTCTCTGTCCTTGTGTTGTTGGTCAAGTGGAGGACATTATCCATCATGTCCTCCGCTGCCCCATTTACAATGAGATCAGGGCCAAATTATTGATGGTAGGTGAACACAGGAGCTCGGAGCTTGAACGATTGAACTACCTTCTTGCAGACGTGTTCCCAACGGTCAGCAACCAACTTGCTCCTTTTGATCTGCTGTCATTTAAACTCAGAAAGAAATACTCAAGTTCTTAGTGGTAACTTTGGCTTTATCTTGCTGTAGCCTTTTTACATCTAATACACTTTTTATTACTTTGTTTTGCAATCTTACTACTATGTTTTACTGTTACTTTGTTATATTACATGGGACATTATATATAACGACCTGTGGTTACAACAATAAACGTACGTACTTTTTGGGGCTTACATTCAGCATCCTTTTTCATAGGGAGCTGCAACAACAGCTCATGAACTCAGCAGGCTCTTTGCTCCAGCAATGCAAGCCGGCCGAAGGCCGAGAAAGAAAGGAGAAAAGATTGAAAAAGGTGGTCCAATTTTACGCTGCCAGGATAAATAGCTTGGAGTCCATTGGTTGTGGTTGTGTTAGGGGGAAGGTGAGAGGCTGAATGGTCTGTTTGATCTGGGTGTCTCAGCTCAGGAGTTGGGCTTCATGCCAACCTCAAATTCTTTGAAACTTTGACATCAATATAGGGAGGGATAAGATAACAGCTGTTTATCCTATCCTGTCTATGCTGGATAAGATAAAGCTTTTTTATGTGCTCAGAGCCAAGCTGGAAGCTTCTCCTTTTGGGGGGTACCTTCCAAATAGGCTTAGAAGGAAGCGGTGATAGCTTGTAGAGGAGGAGATGGATAATAAACTGAGCCTACTGAAGAGCATCAACTCTTTTCTTTTTATAAATACAGACTTAAATCTGGGGACCGGTCTATTCCTGGCCTGCATGGAGGGAGGTCAAGATAAAATTTGTAACTTACAGAACTGTATGGAGATTTTTTTAGAAATCTCTTGGTTGTATGGCCAATCAAGATCTAAAGAGGAGTTTATTGATATGCTTTGTTAGTCCTTGAAGGTATTTTGGCTGTTGGAGAAGTGGCCAGGGAAGGATCAGGCCTCCTTAGGGCAATTCATTGGATAAAGTTACCTTCTTCCTTAAAAAGTTTCTTGGATCCCATTGTCAATGGCAAAAACAGCAACCAGTTAATAATCATATCATTGTATCTCTTGGGCTTTGGAGAGCCCTAAATGGTATAATTTGGGAATAAGTCACCTTAAAACTTTTTTGGAAGACAGGATGACAACATTTCTGACTAGTCATGCTGCAAAATCATGTTAATGGTGCTTGGATTTATGTCCATCTTTTGTTCAGGTCTTGCTTGTTCAGCTCTCTTAAGGGCCTTTATGGACAATTAAAGTTTGATTTTTGTGCAGCCCCATGCCTTAACTGGATTTTTGTCTAGCAAGTCCAATTAATGCCCTTGTTGGCCATCTGCTTGGGAAAAAGGTTTCATCTTTTAGCTAGTAATTAATGCTTCTCAGTTGTGTTCAAGGAGTAACATTCGATAAAGTCGTCTCAGCTTAGAAATGGGGAAGAAAAGCACTTTTTGGAAAAAAATGATGTGTGTTCTATGTCTTCATTTCACAACTCTTGTTATTTGCTTACAGGTCCTGTGTTGTTGTCTTTCAAGGCCAAAAGACCAACCCAGATCCAACCATCCAAATCTATGGTTCTTCAGATGTTGCAGGATCACAACTCCCATGAGCCAAGCTGGTTGGGCATGATGGGGCTCATAGTCCAGCAAAAGTGTAGCATCCCCTAGCATAGTCTTTGCCCTTAAATTATCTTGCATGCCTCATCAAAAGACTAAACTAAAATAGTTGACCCCATTTTCTGTTTGTTTTGGAATACAAGCCCGGTGGTTTTGAGACAGTGGAAGACCTGTATTATTCCTAATGCTTGTAAAACCAGCTCTAACTGCACAAGCATTGTTTTCCAAGTGATTTCTTTAATGCCAGGAGGATTAGATATTTCGTTTCGGTTAAGCTGAATAAAAGGACTGTGAACCTCGTGCTGACGCGTGCAGTTTTAAACGGGAGGATTTAGACACATCAGTTTGCCTTTTCCTTAGTCCTGAAGCTTAGAAATGGGGATATAAATTCTTAACCCCCTCCTGCTTCCAGTTTTTTTTTTTCCACTTTACAAGAGTGATTTTAAGACTTTTATGAAAGATATTCCTGTCATTGCCAAGAAGCAGTTTTTTCAAGCCTGCTACTCAATTGTAAGAAACTGTGTGGCCCTTTCTGACTTTACACGTGACGTTCCTCACACTCTCAGTGTCCTGCAGCTTGCCTTATCCAAATCAAAGGAGGAGGACTGGGCTGACTATGGGCTCCACAATTATACTGAATTTTATTTAGGGGAGAGGAATGACAGAAAGGAGATGAAGTTGGATGGAATCTTTCTCCTTTCACAAAAAGACTAATGAGTGCTCCGTGCTGGGAGATGAACTTTTGAACACTTTCCAGAAGACTTGCTCTCCAGCGTTTTCATTTCTTTCTTTTTTTTTAAAAGTCCGATTATGATAAATTTTTAAAACAGAGGAAGGAAGGAAGGAAGTGAAAGAGCTGGGGGGGGGGGGGGAAAGAGGGGAGAGGATGCCAAACAGCTGCCAAGCCTGTTTCAGCAGGCTGTAAACTCACAATCCAGAGAAAGACCAGCTTCCAGGCAGGGAGAGTGTAGCTTGATAAATGTCTCTTGCTGTCTCTGGAGATGGACTCGCAGAAGGGAGGGAGGTCATCTCACCAAGCATTTGTGAATCCTGCTTCCTTTAATTATGCTTTCCAGGAAAGCCCTTTGCTCTCCTATCCCACCCACCCAAATTCTTCTTTTGACATCAAGTGTGTTTTGTACCCTGAGCAACTCATTGCAGCACATGAACATCCCTGATGCAACCCTTCTAAGACCGCTTCACCCATCACGCTCGCTGGAGACCCCTCACCGGGGTGGGTTCATGCAATGGGCAACCCTAAATCAACCTTAGCATGCTGAGATCAAACCTCCCTCTTCATGGAATCTCTCACACGGAGAGCATGCAAGGTTGGGATAGCGTCTACCTTCCATATGCCATGTTCAAAGGATGCTGTCCATGATTTGAGCTGTGGGAGGTGGTGGTCTCTTAAGAAGGTGGGCTTCAGGCTGCTTTGCCGTGTGCTCGATGCTTGAACTACAACTGGAACTGTTCATCAGCAACTCTGTTAGTACTACTTTATTGGTGGGCTATCCCCCACTCCCAGATCTTTCACATGGTGCCACTTTTGGAAACTGCCCTGTCTACAGAGCCAGCCTTAAGAGGGATACCCTGCTGAGCTGACAGCCGGCTGGCTGAAGGAATAAGAGGAGTTGGTGTTTTGCTGTTAAAAATGTTATTCCACTGCAAACGTGATCATGGGATCATAAACTTCTAATTTGTTCATTTTGGCTGCCCTCCAGTTTGGGTGGAAGGGGGAAAGCTTCACCAGCTTTTGTGTGCATGGTGTATCATCCTCTTGACAAGGAATAGAGAAGGTTGGATATTGATTTCAAATGCTCCATTAATATGATGATGATGATGATGATGATGATGATGGTTGGTCACACAGTCAGCCAGATGTTTAGACTGCATTTGGCATTTTTATCCATCTATTGAGTCCTTCGCAAGGACCTGGGATAGGCAGATGTTGTTGTTTGATGGTGTTAAAGGTATCGTCACAAGATGTAAGCTACTATTATTACTATTACTATTTCTGTTGTTGTTATTATTTTGTCTGACACTGGCTGATGGTTAATCTATTACCGAAGTGTCCTTGGGTCAAGCTTGACTCATGGGGCCTATGGGGACACCTCCACATAGTTTTCATGTAATTGTATGGCAATGGTGAGATGGCTTTCCATGGTTTTCTTCCACAATGTTTCTTAATCTCTCATCTAAGAGAGCTACCATATCTGGGTTGCAAGAATCCTAACCACCACTAGGTGTCTACAGTTTAGTATTTCCTGGTGATCTCTCAACCAGATATCAAGTCCAATCATGCATCACTTTTGTGAGATCCACCAAGGACAGCCAGGACATTCGCTGTACAGATAACTGGAGAAGTCAAGACTGTCACTGTAGAGGCTGTTAGTGGGGATGACCTTTTTCCACCTCAACATCTCTGCCCCTGGCATTTGAGCATGTAAGCAGAAGTTTGTAGAATTCACACCTCCTATCACATGGTGGAGAGAGCTATGGAGATGACCTTGAGGGAAATATGCAGAAGCTGTTTCAAAAAACCAAAAAGGGCCAAAGTATTACTTGAGCCATGGGGAAGGAGATGGTGTTAGGAAGAAATTCAGGCTGGCTCCTCCCTGACTCACTGGGGTATCAGGAGGGGAAGAAAAACAGAAGCAGACTTGCAAGATTCTCTTAATCTACCCTGTCTCAATAAAGCTTAATTCTAGCCTTCTTGTGAAGTCTGTCTCCTGATCTGGACAACGTGAAGGGGCTGATACATGACAATTTGTCATTACTTGATGCCTTCAAGCATAGTAATACTTCAGCCTCTCCTTCCCTTTGTAGCCGCAACTAGGTTAGTTGCTCCATGCAGTAGAACTTCTTTTCCCCTTTCCTCAAAAAGCCGTAGGGGACCTACAGATTCCCTCCACCACCATCCCAGACAATACAAAAGTGCACACAGGGCTCCATGGCCAGATAACCTACGATGGTAATAAACTACACTGGGCTGAACGATCAAGAATCATTGTCTCCTCCAAATCTGTCGCAGGTTCATTTTTCTATTTTTCTTTTCCTGGGCAAGTAGCACGGTGAGCTGTTATCAGTTGTTGGTTCTGTTGATTGCTCTGCTTTTTGGCTTGGGGAAAAAAAAACACCCATCTAGAAAGTCCAGAGCGTTGACAGCAAAGTTGTAAGCACGTTCTTTTCTCAGCTTGTAATCCTTGTGACACTTGTAAAGAGGGAGGTTGCTCCTTGCCACGCCAATTGAGCGGCGAAGGGAAGCTGGAGAGAAGCCAAGCTGTTTCTTGTCATCTCCTGCAAGGAAACTGAAGAATCGAGTGGGAAGGGCAGAAAGACTACTTTGCCAGGGTGTAGTCAAACTCCCACACCTCGGAAAGGAGGGTGCCCAAGTACTGGCTGGAAAACCACAGTCCTCTGCCCTGGAGGGAGCTGCAGCCAGCTAGCACAGCAGCAGAATCCAACTGGGACAGCTTGAAAAAGGCATGCTAACAAATAAATGAAGTAAAAGGAAGGCACATTCAGATTCAACACCGGGATTCCCAGCTTGGCTGTCAAACAGAGCTGTTGCAGGCAGAGTAGCAGAGATCAACTCAACAAAAGAGATTTCCTGCCTGGCATGGTTGAGAAGTCGCCCATTGTGTTGAAAAGCCACATTGTCTGCTGAAATCTCCCAGCGGTGGAGAGCAGCTAGGAAAACATTAGCAAGGTGAGGCGAAGGGTGTGGATTGCTGCCCCGCTGCCAGAGTCCCAGATTCTCATCAGTTGCTGGCGTTTGTCACCGCCTGCAAATTTGGGGGACAGATCTGCTCCACCAGGAACGCTAGATTGCATGTCCAGCGGGTCCCAGCTGGGATGGTTCAGTGTGTTTTAGTTAAAATGCAACAAAGGAGGGTGCAAAACTGGGGGGGGGGCTCTGCAAAAGTCCAGAGGACCACTGGCTGGCTGTCAAAGGATCCCCACCCTCAACCAACTGTAATTTTGAGAGGCCTGCACATTTCATTTGCCTAGGGCACGCAAGGAATCCTTCAACCAGCCTGCATGGAATATTTCAAAGTCTCCTTTAAAATGCAGAAGGGAAACCCTCCGCTTAAGCTGTATGTAGCTTGTTTTTTCAAATAATGCCACTAAACAACTTTGCTTCCTGCTCATTCTTCCCTTTGTTAAAGCCCGAAGCCACGGCTTGGATGCTCCATTATGTTCCGAAATGGAAGTCTGTAATTTTATCCTCTCCCCCCGCCGGCCCCGTCACCTGAGTCCTTTCTTCCTCATCACACAGTGCGCTACTAGAAACAGCGTGAGCCTGATAAAATATCGATCACGGCCACTTTTATAAGGTGGCGAATTCAGTTACGGCAATGGCCTTTGATATTCTCCAATTTCCTTCAGGAGTTTTTCCAGGGAAATTGGGACAGGCAGCAGAGGAAGAATCGCTTGGCCAGCAAAAACTCTTGTTTTGGGGAAGGCCCTCCGTGCTCTGAATTCAGCCCCCCTTTCCAGCTGTGCATTCGATGAAGGGAGCTGCAGCTCTTGAGAATTTTTGCCTTTTAATAAAAGGGGTTATTTGGAAAAGGGGCAACTATTCTTTGTAGAAGAATCCCAACCCAACAGAACTAGTGCTGAGTGTGACGGAAAGGAGGATGAATGTGATGATGAATGAGCTCGCACTTGATCAATACTATGCAAACTCTTTTTCTCTTGGCTCCGTCTTGTGTAGCCGTTTCATAAAAACCGAAAATGAGGAACTGCAGGATCAATTACTGGAGCCCCCTCGCCCCCCGCATACAAAGCAAGGTTGTTCTTAGATGTCAAATGGTGGAGTGTCAGCAATTGGATGTTCTTGGATAAATCAGATCCCATTACTGGGCAATTCCGGTGGATCAGGAGAAGGATTAATGTCTGTAATGCTTTGGATTTGATTAAAACTCTGCAGTACTTTGGATTTAATTCAGACTGCACGGGGGTATGAACCCAGGCCCTGTCTACTACTTATTAAAGCAGCTAAACTTGCTTGCCGAGCTTGTACGGTTGGCGCAAGGGAGCATCCGCCACAGCCTTGTCATTCTGGAAACAGATGCAGCTGCTTTAATGAGTTGCAGAGAAATGCTGAGCTGCAAAGAGCCTTTTCTGAATCCAAAGTGTTGAGCAGGTGTGGTAAGGATGTCCTTATCTCTGGCAACAGACTGGCTCTTTGGGATAGGCAGCCCCTAGCCCCCTAGCAAATACTTTGCTAATCAAACCCTTGT